TCTCTACAAAAAATACAAAAATTAGCCAAGCATGGTGGCAGGCTAATCGATTGAACCTGGGAGGCGGAGGTTGCAGCGAGCTGAGATCACACCACTGCACTCCAGTCTGAGCAACAGAATGAAACTCTATTTCAGAAAAATAAATAAATAAATAGCTGAGTACGGTGGTGCATGCCTATAGTCCCAGCTACTTGGGAAGCTGAGGCACAAGAATCACTTAAGCCAGGGAGGCAGAGGTTGCAGTGAGCCAAGATGGCATCACAGCATTCCAGCCTGGGCAACAGAGTGAGATTCTGTCTCAAAAAATAAAAATAAAAAAAGAGGCCAAGCATGGTGGCTCATGCCTGTAATCCCAGCACTTTGGGAGGCCAAGGCAGGGGATCACCTGAGGTCAGGAGTTCAAGACCAATGTGGCCAACATGATAAAACCCCATCTCTACTAAAATACAAAAATTAGCCAGGCGTGACGGATAATTTTTGTAATCCCAGAACTCTGGGAGGCTAAGGCGGGCAGATCACCTGAGGTCAGGAGTTCGAGATTAATCTGGCCAACATGGGTGAAATCCCATCTCTACTAAAAATACAAAAATTAGCCAGGTGTGTTGGCAGACACCTGTAAGACCAGCTACTCAGAAGGCTAAGGCAGGAAAATCACTTGAACCTGGTAGGCAGAGGTTGCAGTGCGTTGAGATCATACCACTGCACACCAGCCTGGGTGACAGAGTGATACTATGTCTCTAAGATTGCCTGGTCTTAAATAAAACACCTACTCTACTCCTTAATGTGAGCCCTATTTTATACTTAAAATCCAATAGTTGACTGGATTTCAATTCAATTGTGCCATGTCCAGCATGAAAATGAGTTAACAAAAAACTGAAACTTATCAAACATTGTTTACAAATGGTTAGAAAATATAAAAATTAAAAAGTACCAAAAAAAATTCTTAAGCAGCATCTTTGAGAGAAACTCAAAAAATGTCAAGTAAACTCAGTAGGAAATACCAGCATAAGCAGTTTACATCAAAATTGTAAAAACTACAACAGGCGCAGTGGCTCACACCTGTAATCCCAGCACTTTGGGAGACCAAGGCAGGTGGATTGCCTAAGGTCAGGAGTACAAGACTAGCCTGACCAACATAGTGAAACCCCGTCTCTACTAAAAATACAAAAAACTACCCAAGTGTGGTGGTGGTGCCTATAATCCCAGCTACTCAGGAGGCAGAGGCAGGAGAATCACTTGAACCCGGGAGGCAGTGAGCCGAGATCTCGCCATTGCACTCCAGCCTGGGCAACAGTGTGAGACTTCATCTCAAAAAAAAAAAAAATTGTAAAAATGTGATGAATTTGATTCTTTGAGTTAGGAGAAAAAAGGATCCTATTCCTAAATGATAGTTGGGTCAAAATTACCGACCGGGTGCAGTGGCTCAAGCCTGTAATCACAGCACTTTGGGAGGCCAAGGCGTGCAGATTGGGAGGCCAAGGTCAGGAGTTTGAGACCAGCCTGGCCAACATAGTAAAACCCCGTCTCTACTAAAAGTACAAAACATTAGCTGGGCGTGGTGGCAGGGGTCTGTAATCCCAGCTACTTGTGAGGCTGAGACAAGAGAATTGCTGGAACCTGGGAGGCAGCGGTTGCAGTGAGCCAATATTATGCCACTGCATGCTAGCCCAGGCAACAGTGCTAAACTCCATCTCAAAAAACAATATTTCAAAATCTACCACAAAGATTACATGGTGATATGCTCTACAGATCCTCCCTCTCTTTGCCCTCCTTCATGTTATATCTCCATTCTCCTTTCTGGAAAAAAACAGCTGCTTCTAAAATCTATGAGATCTACTAAGTTACCAGCCCACACCATGGGTGCCATAACACTTAGCTTTTTTTTTTTTTTTTTTTTTTTAAGGCAGAGTTTCCCTCGTTGCCCAGGTTGGAGTACAATGGCACAATCTAAGCTCACCACCCTGCACCTCCCAGGTTCAAGCAATTCTCTTGACTCAGCCTCCCAAGCAGCTGGGATTACAGGCATGTGCTACCGTGCCTAGATAATTTTGTCTTTTTAGTAGAGACAGGGCTTTCTCCATGTTAGTCAGGCTGGTCTCAAACCCCTGACCTCAGGTGATCCAACCATCTCGACCTCCCAAAGTGCTGGGATTACAGGTGTGAGCCACCATGCCTAGCCCATAACACTTACATTTTAAGGACACTCCATTTACTCAAATTAACAACTAAGAGTGAAGGGGTATTTGCTGACATACAGGTTTCTCACAAGAAAAAATAAAGACAGATTTGCTTGAGGACAGAGAACTTTACAGTTTGTGAATGCCTGCAGACTGCTTCTTCTGAGCAGGCATTAACCCTTTATCATCCACTTAACCACCCCCTCCAACCCCTACCAACCCACCCCCACAACTACCATCCCCTCACCCCCACCCACCCCTCATCCTCCCTGCCAAAAAAGTTATCTTATTAACAAAGGAAATCTTAAGCCATCATTTTAAAAAAAAAAAAAAAAAAAGAGGGCCGGGTGAGGTGGCTCACCCCTGTAACCCCAGCACTTTGGGAGGCCGAGGAGGGCGATGGCCTGAGGTTGGGAGTTGGAGACCAGCCTGATCAACATGGAGAAACCCCATCTCTACTAAAAATACAAAAACTTAGCTGGGTGTGGTCGCACATGCCTGCAACCCCAGCTACTCCGGAGGCTGAGGCAGGAGAATTGCTTGAACCTGGGAGGCAGAGGCTGAGGTGAGCCAAGATCACACCATTGCACTCCAGCCTGGGCAAAAAGAGTTAAACTCCACCATCTCAAAAAAAACGACGACTGAGAAATCAACAATTCAAAACTAACATTTTAGAAGTAAAGGCTTCACTTCAAACCACTCCAAACCTTCAAGACAGTTTATACTTTCTACATATACTTTATACTTAAGAGGGTAGATATAGGGACCCGTTCCCATCACAACACAAGTACATATTGAAATAAACCTATTCTTCTCCATGTTGTCATACTATTTCTCCCCAAACAATAAAAGTTACTCAGGCTAATACTAAGACAGACAATCCTAGTCATCACTACAGAGGCTGTACTAGTAACCAGGAAAGGGAAGCAAAGGTGTTATTGTTGTTCCAATACGGTTCTAAAGGCAACTCCATGTGACTACTGTTGGTCCAGCCCACATTTAAAGAGAGGACAGAGGAAACCAGAGCAGCAGGAAACAGGCAGGAGGGGCAATTACCACAACCCTTTCCCATGGCCTCATTCTCTCCCATGCCACCACTTTCGGCCATATTTCAATCACAACAAAAACCTTCCTTGTCTAAAAGGTTTCATAATTATTGAGGATGAGAGGCAACAGAAAAGCAAATGGGGGAAATAAGAGCTGTGATAAAGTCTCTTGCCACATGTGTCAACTAGCCATAAGTATGAAAATCAGGAGTACACTGGCAGCAAGTAAAAGGGCAGTGTGGGAAACTAATCACTTCTGCCTGGTAAGAGAAGCCTTTAAAGCAATGGAACGTCGGCCCTAACTAAGGGGATCCACAGGTGAGTGTACTGGAAGAAAGTTATCTCCAGGGAGTGGAATACATTTCATTTCCTCAGGTAAAAGGGGAACGCACCAACGTAGAATACAGACCAGCTTAGGTATCATTTCATCTTCCTTCCACCTTTCACAAACTGACACTAAAAAGGATACACAATTCACAGCGAAAAGTGAGGAATGCAATAACTAGTCGCATACTCCTTGGTGAAAAAACTGCTGTCATAGCAGAAAAGGAAATATAACAACTGGGTTCATCCAAAAAATTAATTATATGCCCTTCAAATAAAAGATCTTTGGATACCTTCTGGAAACCTGAAAAACCCCTCAACTAGCTAGACACCGTGGTGCGCACCTGTAATCCCAGCTACTCAGGAGGCTGAGGTGGAAGAATTGCTTGAGCCCAAGAGCTAGAGGCCAGCCTGGACAACATATGGAGACCGTATCTCTAAAATTAACAGTAATTTTGTAAAATCTCTCAACTGGTAGGATACACTGGTGCTATAGAAAGATAATTAGCCTAAATACTGGCGAACCGTATACCTTCCTCGAATGTGAGGTAAAAACAATATCCAATAGAAGTGATAGTAAATGATTGGATTACATCAAACAGGAAATAACAGTAATAATGATGGGATCAACCCCTAAAGCAAGGATTAAAGACCTGAGCGTTGTCAGTTGAGATGCGTGGGCAACTAATTAGATTGAAAACTCGGGGGAAAAGGTGGAAAAGCCGACTGGGAAAGTGATTCAGAGGCAAATAGAACTGAGTTGTAATGCACCAATGAAAGAATAACATTTTGAGTATGTATTATTAACAGCCAGCGCTCTGCCGTTTACAAAGCGCTCAAAAATCTACATTAACGATTGAACTGTGACTACAGGACTAACCAGACTACAGGAACCGGGGGTGACGAGAAAAACTGAGTCCCAACTGAGACTAATACCCTCCAGAACTGAAAAGAAGTAGAACTGAAATGTGCCTCCGGGTAAGCCGGGAAAGGTTAGAGGGCGCAGAAGTTCGGGCTCTAAGAGGGCCAGTCCCAAGATTAGCTATCGGCATGAAAGCGGAAAGGTGATCAGATGGGACCGACAGCGTGGCGGGGAAGCTCCAGTCCATCGGCAGGCACCGAGGTGGGAAAGAAAACCACACCCTCCAGAGCAGAAACCCGAAGGGGGGAGGGGAGGCGCCCCTGGGGCTGGGTGGGGCCCGGCTGACCGGGACGTGGTTAAGTAGGAAGAAGCACAGGGCAACGTGAGGGGAAGAGGGAGGAGGGCGCTCGGGCCTGGACACAGAGGGAGCGTGGAGCTGGCGAGTGGAACTCGGCCCGGTCCTCAAGGCTGGGCGCCGAGGCAGTCTGAAGGCAGTGGGGGTTCAGACGAGCTGAACCCAGAACTAGAAAGCGCAGGCTGCAGCGCTCAGGGCCCTAGAAGAGGAAAGGAGAGGGAGAGGATAGCAATTACCGCTGCTGCTCTCGGTGGACTCAAGACTTGCTGCCGCCGCCGCCGCTCGTTACCTGCCAATGTGCCTCTTACAAAGCGGCGGCGGCGGCACAGGCTGCCCAACCCGTCACGTGACCCCACGTCACGGGCGAAGGAGGAGCCACAACACGTCACTCATGCGCCGCTTTCCAGCCCGCCCAGACAGCGCGCAGCCTCCGCTAGCCACCACCTCCACCTAACCCTGCGATGCCAACCACGCGGAGGTGGGGGGAAGACCACGGAAAGGAACAAATAAGGGAGACTTGATAGTATATATTGTACTGGGAGTCATCAGGAGAGTATTACCCACCGTATCCAGCATGCCCACAACTGCAGTTCGTTGTCGGGCCATGATGACCTCACAAGGCACTACAGGTTGCTCCCGTGTGGCCGCGTTTCTCTCGTCACGTGATATGATCAAACCACTGAGAGCAAGCCTGGCCTCCGAAACGTTGCACGAGGGGACTACGACTCCCAACATGCTGCACAGCCACGACGACCCTCCCTACCGCAGCATTTCTCCCGCGGGCTTCTAGACGCACCCGGTAGAGACATTAGTGCTTAAAGAGGGCCGGGACGGAAAACTGACTAAGCTGGCTTCAAGGACTAATACCACTGAATGCCCCCGCCTAGTGGCGGAGCGTGGTGCCTGCTGGGAGGTGTAGTCCTGGCGGGGGGTGGGGTTCCACTCTGGTTCCTGCGCTTGCTCTGCGCTCCGCCCCCTGCGCGGGAAAACGCCAACGGTTCGCAGCAAGAGCCACCGCAAAGCGGAAGGCCGGCTTGTTTTCAGTCTTGTTCAGTGCGGTTCTGGTTTTGACCTTCCAAGTCCCTTCTGGGTGAAAAGACTAGCATCTACTGAACGCCTACTCTATGTCAGCCGTTTATACAATTTTTTTTTTTTTTTGAGACGGAGTCTGTATCGCCCAGGCTGTACTGTCGCTGTCTCAGCCCACTGCAACCTCTGCCTCCCGGGTTCAAGCGATTCTTCTCCCTCAGCCTCCAGAATAGCTGGGACTACAGGCGACCGCCCCCATGCCCGGCTGTTTTCTGTATTTTTAGTAGAGATGGGGTTTCACCATATTGGCCAGGCTGGTCTCGAACTCCTGACCTTGTGGTCCATCTGCCTTGGCCTCCCAAAGTGCTGTGATTACAGGCATGAGCCACCGCTCCCGGCCTATATTATCATTTATATTATATATATAATCAGCCCCTTGAGTCCAGGATTTCCCCTACTTAAGGATTAAAAAAAGAAGCTTGGAGTTGTTTCTTGACCGAAGAGACCCAGGTCTTCTGTCTTGGAAAATTACCTAATGACCTCCTCTCAATAGGCTCTGACCTGTTGTCAACTCCAAGAATTAAGCATAAATAAGATGATGGTTTATAACTGTAGCATAGCGTTTTCAAGTATTTTCCATTTATTGGCCTATTTGGATGTGAGACAGATCTGGCTGCAATATCTGTCACCTCATTGATCACCAGGATTGATTTGGCTGATCTGGCTGGCTAGGCAGGTGGTCCCTTCCTCTCTCATCGCTCCACGAGCGTCCCTCCCAAAGCTGCATGCTCAGTCAAAAAGAAGGAATATACTGTACCCCATAGAAGAGGACTGGTCAAGGGTATAGAAGTAGCTGCGCGCTGTTGTTAACAAGCTCTCAAGGCCCTCCAAACAAGCTCTGGCCCGTTTTATCCCAGGCTAGTTACATTCAAGGACTTTGCAGTCCCCACAGACATTACCTCAGTTGGAGCCTTCCTCTGTGATAGCACCACTTCACCAGCTTGTGAAAATTAAATGAGATTATGTAAAATGCCTAAATAAACCCTCAATAAGTATCAGTAATCATTTTCACATTTTACTCATTGGGCCCAACAGGTCTAAGTAAGGTAGAAAGGGAAATTAGCTTATACTGAACTTTGTACAGGGTACTATGCTAATTACTAATTTGCTAGTTATGAAGTAAAACAATTGAAAAAAATAGAGTTTCACTCTTGTTGCCCAGGCCAGAGTGCAATGGCGATCTCAGCTCACCACAACCTCCGCCTCCAGGGTTCAAGCGATTCTCCTGCCTCAGCCTCCAGAGTAACTAGGCTTACTGGCATGTGCCACCACACCCAGCTAATTTTTTGTATTTTTAGTAGAGATGGGGGTTTCTCCATGTTGGTCAGGTCAGTCTCGAACTCCTGACCTCAGGCGATCCCGACCACCTCTGCCTCCCAAAGTGCTGGGATTACAGGCCTGAGCCACCACACCTGGCCAAAACAATTGAAATCTTAACAGTCCTGCCTCATTCAAGGAAAGCTTTTGTTAATCATCTGAATTAAAGAATGCTCAGGCTGTGCCTTTAACAAATGGAACTGGCCAGCATGGTGTCTCCTGCCTGTAATCCTAGCATTCTGGGAGACAATGCAGGCAGATCACCTGAGGTCAGGAGTCCCTGACCAGACTGGCCAACGTGGTGAAACCCGATCTCTACTAAAAACTACAAAATATTAGCCAGGCATGGTGGTGGTGGGCGCCTGTAATCCCAGCTACTCAGGAAGCTGAGGCAGGAGAATGGCTCAAACCTGTGAGGCAGAGAATTTATCATCATCACCATTCGTGTGTAGGTGTCTTTTCTCAACCCTTTTGATAGTGAGCCTGGATTGTGTCTTGTCTGTTCAACTTCTCCTCTTTGTCCTGCCGCTTTATAGAAATGTGTGAGAGCATCAAAGATAAAAACCACCCTTGAGAGTCTTTTTTTTTTTTGAGACGGAGTTTCACTCATGTTACCCAGGCTGGAGTGCAATGGCACGATCTCGGCTCACCGCAACCTCTGCCTCCTGGGTTCAGGCAATTCTCCTGCCTCAGCCTCCTGAGTAGCTGGGATTATAGGCACGCGCCACCATGCCCAGCTAACTTTTTGTAGTTTTAGTAGAGACGGGGTTTCACCTTGTTGACCAGGATGGTCTCGATCTCTTGACCTCGTGATCCACCCGCCTCGGCTTCCCAAAGTGCTGGGATTACAGGCTTGAGCCACCGCGCCCAGCCCCCTTGAGAGTCTTAATGGACAGATCAGGAGAAAAGGATTCTGAAAGGATAAATACAAAGTTGATAACAGTGGCTGGCTCTGAGGGGTGGGAAAGAGGTTTGGGATTGTGGTGCAATCTCAGCTCACTGCAACCTCTGCCTCCCAGGTTCAAGCAGTTCTCCCTCAGCCTGTCGAGTAGCTGGGATTACAGGCACATACCACCATGCCCAGCTAATTTTTGTATTTTTAGTAGACATGGGATTTCACCATGTTGGTCAGGCTGGTCTCGAACTCCTGACCTCAGATGATCCACCCACCTCAGCCTCCCAAAATGCTGGGATTACAGGCGTGAGCCACCATGCCCAGGCGGAGATGCTAAACTTTGAATGTAGAGACCAAAAGAAGTAATCATAATGTCACTGTGTGAGGCCTTTTTGGAAAAGCCAAAAAGATTCCCTAAATTCCATCCACTAGGGAGGCTGAGGCAGGAGGATCGCTTGAACCCAGGAGTTGAGTCTGAAATGGAGCAGGGATCCTTCTTAAAAGCCTGTCAGGCCTCCCAAGCATAAAAATAAAAATTCTAGACTGGACTCACACCTATAAACTCAGCACTTTGGGAGGCCAAGGAAGGAGGATTTCTAATTACTCTAGTATATTGACTTTGGAAACAAAAGACATCGTTCTATTTATAGCATTCTGTTTTTGGTAGCGCTATTTCCATTTACAAAATTTAGTAATTCTAGATCGCTGATAATGTCAAATCCTAGAAAACATAGCATTCCTACATGTGATTTTAACGTTATTCTAAAAGAGTTGTTGGCCAAAGATTCATTTCATGAATCCAATTTTTCCAAAATAGAAAATTCTGATGATTCAGATGATCCTGATGTTAGGTCTGTTTAGAAATAACTCTAAGAACAGTTTTTTGTTGTTGTTGTTGTTTGTTGGTTGGTTGGTTGGTTGGTTTTTTTTAAAGACGGACTTTCACCATGTTGGTCAGGCTGGTCTTGAACTCCCGACCTCAGGTGATCCGCCCGCCTTGGCCTCCAAAGTGCTTGGATTACAAGCGTGAGCCACCTCACCCGGCCAGAACAGTTTTTATACTTTATGTTCACATTGAAAAGCAGCCAGATTTGCTTCAGCCTCAATGAGCATCTTTATGTGAAAAAATTAAATGAGCACTAGTAGTGAGCTGCACTTTTTTTTTCTAAACCAGGAAAGGGTTAAAAACCATTGCTTAGGCTAGACAAAGTGGTTCATGCCTGTGACCCCAGCACTTTGGGAGGCCAAGACGGGAGGATCCCTTTAGCCCAGGAGTTCAAGACCAGCCTTGCCAATACGGCAAAACCCCATCTCTACTAAAAAATACAAAAATTGGCCGGGAGTGGTGGCACACACCTGTAGACCCAGTTACTCAGGTGGCTGAGGCACAAAAATCACTAGAACAGGAGAGGTAGAGGTTGCATGAGCCAAGATCATACTACTGCACTCCAGCCTGGGCAACAGAGCAAGACACTGTCAAAAAACAAACAAAGAAAACCTGTAAACCCAGCACTTTGGGAGGCCAAGGCGGGTGGATCACCTGAGGTCAGGAGTTCAGTACTAGCCTGGCCAACATGGCAAAACCCTGTCTCTACTAAAAATACAAAAATTTGGGCCGGGCGCGGTGGCTCAAGCCTGTAAGAAGAAGAAGAAGAATTTATTTCCTCCTGTTACTAATCCCTGCTAAAATCTCTTTCTATAAAAATTTGAGGGTCAATAGGGGTCTTCAGAAGTAGAAAAACCCTTAGAGACACTGAGGAATTAAGTTGTAATGGTCGAATGACAGGTGGTGGGTTGATATTTTAGATGAGGAGGCCACTCCTTCAGATCCTCTATTGACATGGCACCAGTTCTGCCAACTTGAGGGTGGGCCAGTTGTGGTCACTAAAGAAAGAACACTTTTGGGCCGGGCGCGGTGGCTCAAGCCTGTAATCCCAGCACTGTGGGAGGCCGAGGCGGGTGGATCACGAGGTCAAGAGATCGAGACCATCCTGGTCAACATGGTG